GATTACTTGCAAGGGAGATGGAGCCGCACATCAAGCTTCGACTAACTATAGGCCAGTGGAATGCAATGTGCAAGTTGTGCAATCTTTTCAATGTACAGGGGTCTTGATTGGTTCATCTTTTCAATTTTTTTTCTGGGTTAAATCCACTGGTATGGTCTTGGAAGAGAGGTTTTCTGCAAGAGGCTTGCCTCCGCCTAGACTTAGAAGTTGTACTGAAAAAAACAGGTTTCAAGGACTGGTTTTGTTTCCGATTTTTGGTCATTTGTGAATTTGCTTTAGAAATTGATTTGAGACATGTAGCAAAACTCCCTCCACCCGAATATTAGTGGTGAATGGCTTCCCCCCTATGCTGTACTCGAAGACGAGTATCAGTGCTTGCTTTCTAGCATCAGATGGTGGTGATGCTAACTTGATAAACTTACTGCTGGGCTTTAGTGGACTTTATTTTTATACATGACATTATAAATTTAGGATTCCTTAGTTTTTCTTTTCTAAAACACTTGTTTGAGCTGGCTGGCGTTGTGAATTGACAATGAAAAGCCAAGACCTTTATTCTTTGCTTTGTGCCTTCGTGGTGCAAGATGTTGCTATCCTATTGTTCTAACCTCATGTTTCTGAGTTCTTGTATTCAAGGAGCCTGTCTATCCTCAAATCCCCCACAGAACACAAAATGTTGGATATAAATGAACTTACTGTTCTGCACACGAAGAACCCATTCGGAATTGCCAAAAACTAGAACTGGGATTTTGTAACATGAATATTTTTATGGACTCTTAACATTATGAGAATAAATGGGAAAAAAGAAGGATTTTTTTTCCCTGCAAAAATGAAGATGACCGGAAATTCTGCAAGTTGCAGGTTTGTTTGTAGTGTAATTGTAGTTATTTTTTAAATAATTATTTTAATAATTTAACCGGAAATTCTGTAAGTTGCAGGTTTTTTTTCTGGGTTAAATCCACTGGTATGGTCTTGGAAGAGAGGTTTTCTGCAAGAGGCTTGCCTCCGCCTAGACTTAGAAGTTGTACTGAAAAAAACAGGTTTCAAGGACTGGTTTTGTTTCCGATTTTTGGTCATTTGTGAATTTGCTTTAGAAATTGATTTGAGACATGTAGCAAAACTCCCTCCACCCGAATATTAGTGGTGAATGGCTTCCCCCCTATGCTGTACTCGAAGACGAGTATCAGTGCTTGCTTTCTAGCATCAGATGGTGGTGATGCTAACTTGATAAACTTACTGCTGGGCTTTAGTGGACTTTATTTTTATACATGACATTATAAATTTAGGATTCCTTAGTTTTTCTTTTCTAAAACACTTGTTTGAGCTGGCTGGCGTTGTGAATTGACAATGAAAAGCCAAGACCTTTATTCTTTGCTTTGTGCCTTCGTTGTGCAAGATGTTGCTTTCCTATTTTTCTAACCTCATGTGTCTGAATTCTTGTGTTCAAGGAGCCTGTCTATCCTCAAATCCCCCACAGAACACAAAATGTTGGATATAAATGAACTTACTGTTCTGCACACGAAGAACCCATTCGGAATTGCCAAAAACTAGAACTGGGATTTTGTAACATGAATATTTTTATGGACTCTTAACATTATGAGAATAAATGGGAAAAAAGAAGGATTTTTTTTCCCTGCAAAAATGAAGATGACCGGAAATTCTGCAAGTTGCAGGTTTGTTTGTAGTGTAATTGTTGTTATTTTTTAAATAATTTTTTTAATGATTTTTTTCCTTGCAAAAATGAAGGTAACCGGAAATCTTGCAAGTTGCAGGTTTGTTTGTAGTGTAATTGTTGTTATTTTTTAAATAATTTTATATTAAAATATATATTCATGATTTTTTTTATTTTTAAAAAATTATTTTTGATATCAGTATATTAAAATAATTTAAAAATATTAAAAATATATTTATTTAAGGTTAATAAATTTTTTTTTTTTTTTTTAAAATGCTGTTGAAATACAAAAATAAATAGGTAAGTATATCAGCTAAATTAAACAAAAAAAGAAAAAGAAAAAGAAAAAAAAGAAGAAGAAGTCTAAATTGGCCCAGCCAAATCCTATGACGGTCACTGGTTTCAATTTGTGAAAAAATCTCGGTTCAATTAATGAGGTGGTCACATCCCTCACAGTTGAAAAATTAAAATCGCATTTAATGACTTGGAAGTGTACGTGGATTGTCTATAAATTTTGAAAATTGTGAATTAAACAAATCTGTGTTTTAAAATGTTATTTTATTTTAAAATATATTAAAATAATATTTTATCAAAACAAATTAAAAATATTAAAAAAATAATTTTAAATAAAAAATAAATATATTTAATTTAAAACAAATAATATTTCGATCATAACGTAAAAATGACTTGTGAGCTTGAAGCTCCGTAATTGAACACATTTCATTATACATACTTATTAAATTTCATTATATTGTTATTTTCTTTGTTTATCTTACAATTTCTTGAATTTTTATTATTTTTATTGATCGGATATAATTGAGAAAAAATCAATAAATTATTAATTTAATGATCAAAGTATTATTATATTATTATAAACATGAAAATACAAATTTGATCTTCTAAAAATTTATTTATCAGAAGGGATAGCCGTGAATTTCGAACATAATTAATTTTAACATTAAAAAATATAAAAAATCTAAAAATATCCAAATAAAATATATATATTCTGCCTCGTGCATTCTCTTCCCTAATGACTTAGTCCAATTTTTGGCACTAATTAATTTCTCTCTCTCCCCCCTAACCCAAACTTTACTAAAGTACAGAATAGCCTTTTAAATTAAATAAAAAAATTATTTTCTACAAAATACTTTTCTTCACTAACACTAAAGGTACCCCGATTTTCCTTCTACGTCTCTCTCTCTTTTTTCTTTTTTTTTTTTTTCTTAGCAACCCATTTTTCAGCATCACAAACTTTTTTTCCTTGCTCTTATATTGGTTTTTCTAACACAATTTATTTCAATTACGAAATGTTTTATACTTATTTATTTATATATTATCTTATTCTAGAGTATCGCATCGATGAATATTATCATGCAATGTACTCAAATATGAGAAGAATGTATGTAATTATGAAAAATAAGACATTTCTTTTTTAAAAAACAAAAAAGTCGGAAAAAAAAGAACGAATTTGCCGTGAGGCACCATGTCACCCCAAGACTGGAGACATCACCTAATTAAGAGTTTAGGCTACATTGGCCGAACTCAATTTTATGATTTGCATACATTAAAATATGGTATAGGTTATATTTTAAAATATTTTTTTATTTGAAGATATATTAAAGTAATATATTTTTTATTTTTTAAAATTTATTTTTAAAACATGATCCAAAAATACTAAAAAACAGTAATTTTAATAAAAAAAATTCAAAAAATAATATCAAGTAAAAAATTCACAATTTTCCCATTATTATCATTAAGAGTAGGATTAGCATTGTGTCAAACTATAAAACAAGCATTTAAAGTTTAAATTATTCAAGGTATATATCATTTTCTTTAAAAGTATGTAAGTTTAGAGAAGCATTTCAAAAATATTTTAAAATAATTGATTTTTTTAATTTTTTTATTTGCTTTGAGTTAATGATTTTTAAGTAAAAAATATTTTAAAAAACAATCATAAATACACTATCAAACAAGCTCAATAATAGATATCATAGCTATAGTTACCTCAACAAAAAAACCTATAATTTCTAACTTTCAGGTTAAATTATAATTATAATAACATCAATTTCTTTGGATGCTTAAATCTCAATTTTATATAAAAAATTTAACACAAAATATTAAAGTAATAATTATAAAATTCAAATCAATTTAACAAGTTAATCTAAAACTTGTTTAATTTATAGCTTAAATCAATTCGGATTAAATGAAAAGTGAGGCAAGTAATTAGCTTAGCCTAATTTAATTGATTCAATTAAAACTCGGTATCTGATCGATCCAAGGCAAAACACACCATTCCATACCAATCTCATTACATTCAATCTCTCTTTATCTTTTTTTCCTTCATCATCAATCCATAATTTTGTTTCTCTTTAACCACCTTCTTAATAAATTTCCTTACCTCTAGTTTATGGATCTGCAATGAGTATCCAACAACAGTAGAAAAAAAATGAAAGATAAAAAACAAAGGAGGAGGAGGAGGAGGAGGAGGGAGATAGCAGCAACAACAAAGCAAGGGAAAGCTTTTGAGATGGCAGCAACAACAAAGCAAGGGAAAGCTTTTAAGCATAGTAATAATTTTATAACTATAATTTTGACAAAAAATTCTTTAAATAACCTCATTTATTAAAAACACTATTTAATAGCATGCTATAATCAAACAACGGTAATTTAAGAGAAGGGAAAAAACCCACAAAAATTATGAAAATGTAAGCACAAATCCAGCTTCACAATCAACAAAAAACAAGAGGACTAATCATTCATGGCATTCGGTTTCAAATTCATTCAAACTCGCCGAAAAAAAAAATTGTTGTTCGATGCTGGCATGATGCACGATTACAATCAACAAAAGGCTGGAGTTTCATTTGCATATCTATGAGGGCTGTCTGTTGCAGTAATTGAAGGATATTAATTACTGTGTTGTAATGGGGGATGATTTGAAGAAGTAGGTGGGGCTCTCAAGAGCAAACCTAGCCTAGGCAGGCCACTGGTGAACGATCACTGGGTCTACCTGCTAGTTGGATTTGATAACCTTGGAACAAACTATATTTAAAAAGTGCAGGTCAAGAGTCAGAAGTTGGGGAAGGATGATGATTGGCTCAATCATTCGCATGCATGGTTAAAATTAGAAAAGTTTCAAACTATATTTTTGTTCAAAAATATATTTAAATACATTTTTTAAAAATATATTTTTAATATTAACATATTAAAACAATAGAAAACGTTGAAAAAAAATAATTTAAAAAAAATTAAAAATTTTAAGAACAAGCATTCAACCGGCATTCCCAAAGAAGCTCTCAGACTGCCAAAAGGCAAAGACCATCCACCGAGTTCATGGAAATGAATCATTAGGCAGCCACTTGGATACTCGAAACAAGAGAATAAACATGCTCATCAACTTTCACATATATGGTGATGTTATTTTCAAATGGCATATGGCCTCAACACACATACAAAATTTGTGCAGGAACCTGACCAGCACTGAATTCTACTTAGCAGCCTCTTCTCAGCTTGTAAGACTGCAGTTACAGGCATGCTCTTATCAGCAAAATTGGTCGATTCAATGACCCCTTCTAGTCTGCAAAATAGGAAGCTGAAAAACTCTTGGACTGGACCTTTACAAATAACCTCCATTCATGCAAAAATAGCGATGGCAGTTCAGCATGAGTAGCAGCACATTAACTATAACACTTGCTTCCCAAGTCTGTCTATAAGTCCTGCAAAAAACAGATGATTAGCTGTAATCCCAAAAAGCCAGAAAAGCGCATTAAATTCTGATGATTCTGATCATTTCCAAGGGTATTCACCATGCATCTCAGAATGAGTTCAGGTTGAACCAATTTACAGTTCAGAAAGAAGCCTGCAATTTCTTCAATCATCACTGTCACTGATATCAAAGATTGATCTCCTAACCACAGATGAAGCCCTGGAGGGAGCTCTGAATCTATAGAAAGAAAGCTCTGGTCTTTGTTTATTGGCGGAAATTTTGAGCTTATTTGCAGCTGTCATCATGAGTTTCCCAACTGCAGAAGTTGTTTTTAGCTTATTCCCTGAACTTCCAGGTCGAAGATCTGTTGGCAATGGAGAAGCCAGTGTTCTTGGGGGCGTTCTGATGTCAACCTGTGGTAAGGTGTAAACTTGCATATTTGAGAAATCATTTATTTTAGCAAATATTACTTCTTGTGGTCTCTCTGTGGGAGTCTCCACCATTGGGCAGGAAAAGGTTGCAGGCTTAACTTGATTTATAGGTGTCAGTAAACCAGAGCACACTTTGGCAGCAAGATTTGGAGCTTTGTTTCTTCTATCAAATTCTTTATTGTGGTCAGCCATTCTCTTCTTGTCCTTGTTCTTTTTCTTGAAACAAGAGACAATTTTTGGAAGCGCTTCGGTTATTGTTGCATGCTCAACTTCATTTCTAGGTGTCAACAAACCAGAAGACACTTTGTCAGCAACATTTAGAGCTTCTTTACTTCTGCCAAGTTCTTTGTTGATGTCAGCCAGTCTCTTCTTTTCCTTGCTCATTTTCTTGAAATAAGGAGCATTTTTTGGAAGTTCTTCTGTTGTAGGCTTAACTTCATTTCCAGGTGTCAGTAAACCAAAGCACTCTCTGGCAGCAAGTTTTGGGGATTTTTTACTTCTATCAAATTCCCTGTCGATTTCAGCCAGTCTCTTCTTTTCCTTACTTCTTTTATCAAAACAAGGGGCAGTTTTTGGAAGTTCTGCAGGTAATTTGATTCCAAGTAAACCTTTTATCCTCTTGTTATTACCATTTGGTATCATGTCATTTTTTCTAGTGTTTGTAACGAGAGAGCCAATGGCATTGCTACCGTCAGAAATATGGTCATCCTTTGCAGCTAGACACTGGGGTAAGTGTTGATTACAAAAGCTATTTGAAGACCTTATTTCCACACGAAGAAACCAATTTCCTTTGAGCCCCTGAAAAGCATACTTTATAGGCAGTGACTCCAGCAGGTGGTAGAAGCAATTATTTCTCCTTACCTGCTAAAGGACAGAGAAGTGTATGAAAAATTAACATGAAGGAATCCCCAAACAAAATCTAAAATAAAAGAAAGCAAAAGGATCATTTTAAAAATACCTTTAATTCATAAACTTTGATCTCTCCCAATTTCGGAAAACAATTGAAGTGCATTTTCTCCAGCTCTCCTACAGCATGAATATTGGCATGCATTACTTTTCTATGAAGTAGAGAAAGGGTAAACATAAAGAAAGGTCACAGGCAGCTTTTTAAAAATTGAATGCAATGCAAGGAACTAAGCATGCAAGAATGCCGGAGGAAAACTTGGACAAATATGAAACCCTAAAGCAGAAAACACAACCAAATGGAGCACTTATATAGTCTAGTTATATGATAAATAAACTCAATACAATAGATTAGCAGGTTCTCCACTTTGCAAACTTCATTGAATCAGTTGGTCTATTCTGGGATTAAAACTTTGTTACCTTACAGGGGAGCTGTTCAAGGTTATGCAAACTTTGAGAGTCCATTGTGTCCCTTCTCTAATGAGAACTAATAAAGAGTATCAATGAGACATCTTCTACAAAACAAAAATGAAAGAGGAGGGACAAAAGGCTAACTTATCCAACATTTTACTGAATGACTTCAGGCTATCTCATCCAGTTTTTTTGGGGTCAGGTATTACTTACAGGATTTTCTGATTAAAATTATTTTCAAACTTCCTACGTTTGCTTGTAAAACACTCAATTGAAGTATACAAATGCTGAATACTAATCAGAACATCAGGTAGGATAAATCAATGACATAAATGCAAGCATTAAACCTCTATTCATGGTACAAAATGATTGAGCTCTGAAGCCATCCAATTTATGTACAAACTTTCATGATTAAAGTATGGTGTCTCCACTTCATCCTCCTACTGGTTACCTCTTGCCTTGTAATCCACCACTACATATCTAACAAATTAATCTCCTTTGAATTGCCGACATGATTGTGTCGTCAACAATTAGGCTGACCTCATAAAATAATCAAAATCTAACAAAAGAAATGATCTTTATAGCACCATAGAGTAAATGCATGAAGTTACTTACCAACACAGACATCACCATTTGGGACCACTCATCAGAGCTATAGATCCCTCAAATTATATTCCCTGCATCCAACTCTCAAATTCACTTGGCATTCCCTAAACTTCCTTGAATTAGTATGTTCAGCCACCTCTAGTATGCATTTCACCTCAACTAAATTATGTAAAACTCCAAAAGTTCACTTCTTCAGTCGGCACATCATAACTCTTTACTAAGCTATTGAAATTGACTTCTATCAAATCCCATCTAACCTCCAATAAAACCCCATCTAACCTCCAATACTCTATCACCTAACAAAACTGTTTCTTTGACAATGCATTATGTCTAATAAGAAAAAGCAGCAACCTTTTGCATAAAAAAAATATAAATAGAACAAGTGAATAGTCCCAATTCAATACAGCAAAATCACAAATACCAAAACAGTGTGCTTTAGAATCCGAAAGTGAAGAAAACCCAGAAAAGCACATCAAGTGAACGGTCAAAACAAACAATCAGCTCCATAATAGAAACTATGATACAGATGAAACAAATAAAGGCAAGTAAAAAGAGGGATTGTTGAAAATCCAGAGAAGATGTTAATAATAAACAAAGAGAGGCAAGAAAAAAGTTTACAGAAAGAAAGTTACTCTTGAAATCAGCAACAGTGATATCAGGAGAGATGCCCATGGCAATGTGAGTGTCCATGCTTGTGTCTGTGAAAACAGCTACTTCACCATCACTAGGTGTTGATGCCATTGAGAAGGCGATGAAAGACAATTGTCAGCAACTAGCCTAAATGGATAGGCAGAGAGAATGTGGCCGTGCTATTGATTGCAGTTCTGGTTGAACGATTTTCTGTCGCTTTAAAGTAGATGACCAAGGCCTGTCTAGCCTCCATTAACTACTGGGAAGGAACCTGGGCACAAGAATTTCGGATATAATGGTGTAATTTCTCCAGTAAATTATAAACCGGTCCCTTCTGTCTTACAAATTAAATATTTCATTTAGTTTCAAAAACTAATTATTATTTTTTCAAATGTATATCCCTTTTCAATTATTTTGTTTTTCTAAGGAAATAGAAAAAGGAGGAGATGAAGGAAATAATATGAAAAGATTCACGAGGGAAAAAAAAACAGTTTTTAGAGTAATATTATATTAAATTAAGCATGATCAATAATTAACTACAGGACTACTTAATTAGTTTAACTATTCAATTCATTTTACAAAACAAGAGGAACTAATTTATAATTTACATAATAGTTAAAGTATGATAAATGAATAGTTAGAATTTTATTTTATTTTTCTTGAGTGGAGGAATATTATTCTTCAAATAATTATATTTAAAAACAATTTCTTAATAATTTTTCAGCTTCTACCCATATGCTCATTTCTAGAAAAAATTGAAGCAAATTTAAAAAAATGACTCGCACCTTCTCTATTTTATCCTAAAACATTTGCATTAATTTTGATAGATAGTCTCCATTTTATCCTAAAACATTTGCATTAATTTTGTTTCTCAAGTCTTAAGAATTCTTAAATAAATATCTTAATCTATATTTAATCACAAATATCATCTTAATTTTACTTTTTATAAGAAACGACACTATTATTTTAGGAAACTTAATCTTTTTTATTAAGAAATTCAAATAGAAGAACCCCAATTGAGAAATTTAAATTGTTTGGGGATAAAAATGATACAAAATATATACAGGGGTAAAATCGATACTATCCTAGTAGTTGGAGGATATACTTAAAGTTTTCCCAAAACGATGAAAAGGTTAAACCCTTCTCTTCAGCCCTCACAGCTGGTTATGGTTTAACGCACTCTAGTATCTCTCTCTCTATCACACACAACACCACGAGCCCATTTCTCAGCAGCTAAGCGTCTTTTCATCAATCATTTCCAAATCCAGAGAAAGTACCAGGTATCATCTTCTTTTCTTACCCCTTACTCTCTCACACACATCACAACATTTCAATGGTCTCTATAGTTTCTGGGTTGTCTTTGCTTCTCCTTTAAATTCAACCATCCCTGTTTAGTATGATTATAGCCCAGGTCATGTTGTGATGTTATTTAGCTGAAATCCTTGACTGGTGCATGAAAAATCTCTTATTATTGATTGATGGGTGTGGATAATGGGTTCTTGTTTGACTATTCCTGGATCTTCTTGATTAGCGATACCTGCAGTTTTCTTGCTTTAGCAATTAAATTTTTTTTACGATTTTCTTGTTTGTTGCTATTAGTTGGTATTTTAGAAATTTGGGTTTGGCTTCCTCTTTTCTATAGAAAAGCTGAATGACGGCTATGAGACCTTGCCTTACAAAGCTTAGAATTAGCTTGAGTAGCATGTAATGGAAAGGTGTTTGCTTTCGAGTATTTGTGCTATTGCCTGTGCGTGTGATCCTAAAAGCAAACTGGAAAACTGAAATCTATTGAAGGTTTCAAGATAAATTTCCTTTTTCTTCATGGTTTAGTGAAGATCTGGAAATGCGAAAAGATAATATGCTGAATTAGTAACTGGGAATTTTGTAAGAGAGACAACAAAGTGCAGAATAATCTTTTTGAGATTTAAAGTGATGGAGGGTTTTTTAGAAATTATTGCCTGTATTTCATTGAACTGTACTGATATGGATATGATTATGGTTCAATCTCTTTGAGCTTGTTATTTGATTTGGTGGTAATAACTTTGCTTCTTTGATGGTACTTGCACATTTTAGTTTTATTTCCTTCTATGGAACAAAATATACAGTCACTTGTTGAACTTTGCATTGTTTTCAGTTTTCAAGTTGGTGTGTAGTAGATAACAAAAAGAAGTTGTTGAACTAAAGAAATGGCCAGTCAGCAAAAAGAAGATCTGCCAAGCACCAGCCCTCGTGCTGCTGGTTTTGGGGAAATGGTAGTAGAACGATATCAAAAAATCAGAGAGCATGCAGAAACTTATCCCTATGTGTGGGCTTCATATATCGTTGTATATGGCGGTTTCAGCCTCTGGGCTACCTATAGATGGAGAAAGCTTCGTAAGACCGAGGACAGAGTGCGAGTTCTTCAAGAGAGGCTACGCAAACTTGTTGAAACTGAAGAGGGTGCCAGCTCCACCAAGTCTGTTGAAAAGGCTCCATCATCCACTGAAAAAACACCCAGATAGCTATGTGCTATTTCCGCCAAACCATTTCCTATAAATTGCTTGAGTTTTGAACCGGATGAGCTTGGCGTATATTTGCAAGAGTTTAGGAAAATCTCAAATGGAGTGTAGTGCAATTTTTTTTTTTAGACAAACAGAGCGAAGAAATTGTGCATTCATTACCCATGAAATTTCTTTATGAACTTGTCAATTTCTTGGAAGCAATGAAATCCACTGACTTCTACAAATTTTGTTTGACTGTGTTAATCCAGAGTCCGAATAGAGCTGGATAAAATGATATAAATTTGGTTGTTCTGTTTAACATCTATGCATCGTCTATTTACAATTCCCGTTGGGGTTTATTGTAACAATTATTATCAATTCTTATTATTTACTTTTTTCTTTTGGAAAAAATGTCAAATGAAATTTACTTCATGCTTTTCTTCTTTAAGCAGGGTGTTTTCTACGAAACATGCACTTTTTAGTGCTCTTGAAAAGTGCATTGCAATATGTTCTGCATATGAGTGAATGGTTTGAGGTGAAATGCAATCAAGCATGCATACCCTTCCCCATCCATTGGACCAAGGTCTGCTTATTCATATGACAGGGCTCGACTATACAATACGACTGTTACTATGATCGGGAAAATCCTTATCAACTTCTGAGAGGCAATGAAATTCACCAGCCTTCACTGTTTCTTAAATCCATCAAAATTCTCCACAGCGACAAGAAAAGAAGTCCAGCCATTATTTTTGGCATTTAATAAACTAGATTAAACTTTAAGAAAAGGACTGTTTTTGCAGGTTGCAAAATATGAACAAGGATATCGGTTCTGCTGTTTCCTTGTTTCATTAGCATGCACATTTATTAGTAAAATGGCTACAACTCTTGGTGGAAAGCTCCAAATCACGCACCGTTTGAAACATTGGAAACTATACAAGGATAGCTTTCTATGTGAAGCTAGGAGATGCAGGTCAACACTTCCATTACAATACTCCTAGGACAGGACAGGTAATAACCCGTACGTTGTGTCAGTCATGCATAGAATCAGAGGGGGCGTTCCTAGCGGAAATTTGCATGTTTTAGAGATTGTCAATGCTGCCTTGATTCATGAGAGCTCCATAAAGAGAGAGCCATGAGATACCTGATGTTGTGAAGAATGTTGCGAGATACATGCTTAAATTTGGGTTCCAGCTTGGTTTCGAGATGCAAAATGGGCTGTTTGAACGGATGAACTATATGAAGCTAAGAGATGCAGGTCAACACTTCCATTACAACACTATCTGGACGGGTAATAGCGAAGAAAAAAAATGTCCTCCTTCATTATTACTAATTTGGGTATAATCTGAATAATTTTGTTAATTTACTCCTTATTATACTTGATGTAATTCAGTTTTTATTTATTTTTATATTGTAAATAAGTGATTAAATATATTTATTATCAATCACAGTTTAACCTTGATTAAATCCTGGTACAACCTAAAACCTGTGACCTTTTGTCTTCACCAATTTGGTTTTTTTTGTTTTGATTTACGTGGATGTTCGGACCAGATTGCGCGCACCACGACTAATCTCATGGCCCACCAAATACCCTACAAACCCAGTAAGTATATAAGGCATTACAAAGGTGACAAATGTGCACATGAGAACTTGAACCTGAGTACAGTGGAAGAAGACAAGCCCCTTCCACCACCTTTGTTTTCACCAATTTGGTTTTTTTTTTTTTTTGATTTACGTGAATGTTCGGATCAGATTGCACGCACCACGACTAATCTCATGGCCTACCAAACACCCTGCAAACCCAGTAAATATATAAAGTATCACAAAAGTGACAAACGTGCACATGAAAACTTGAACCCGGGTACAGTGGAAGGAGACAAGCCCCTTCCATCACTAAACCAAGACCCTCGATGCTTACCAATTCAGTTTTGGAAGGCTTGGTTTTAGTTGAATGAGTTCATGAACAATTCAGTCTCACGAGAAATTGACTTGTGATTGAGAATTTTAGGTGAGCAATAATAAATATTAAATATTAAGAATATTAAGAAGACGAAGGATTTTTTAATGGTATTAATAAAAATGTAAAATAAAAAAATATATTATAAAATCAAATTTTTAATTATTTTAATATTAAAAGATGAAATTAATAAAAAATTTTAATTATTTTAATATTAAAAGATAAAATTGATAAAAATAAAATTTAAAAAAATCATGATAAAAATTCAAAAATATATAAAAAAACAATATGGATTATTATTGTCATTCACAATGCAATGCATGTGGATAAACAATGGTTTCCTCACACCCTTTAATATTTGTTACTTTATAAAGTTTATAATATGACTTTTCTCTAAAACTTTTTTTTTTAACTATATGAGAAAAAAATAGATTATAAAATAAATTTAAAGTTTAATAAAATAAAAGACAACTCACTAAACTCTTAAACTAGGACAACCTAGATTATTTTGATAAATTTGTAAATCATACTAATCTCAAAAACAAAATACAAAGCTAAAATCTCAACAATCTTAATTTTTAAATTTTTTTTTGATAAAAATAGATTTGAAAAAAAAAATCATAATAAAAATAAAAAAAAATCGATAAAAAAAGATTTGAAAAAAAAATCATAATAAAAATTAAAAACACAAAATATTGTAGATTACTATTACAATGAGTGTTGGGAGAACAATAGTTTTCCTCACTTCCTTTAAATTTTGTTACCTCATAAAATTTAATAACATGATTTTTTCTAAGATTATTTTCTTAATAATATGAAAAAAATAAATTATAAAAATATCAAGTTTAATTAAAAAAACCCATCAAATCTATATAATGGAATAACCTAGTTTACCCTCACATATCTATAAACTATTATTAATCTCATAACAAAATAAAATAAAAGGAAAAAAATTATAAAATTAGATTTTTAACGTTCTCAATATTAAAAAAATAAAAATAATAAAAATAATTATAAAAAAATAAAAAAACAATGTGGGGAGCACTATAATTATAATTATAATATGCCCGATTACGAATCAGTTGTTTTAGTAATTGACAGCAAGAAGTCAAAACTCAAATTTGAATCCCTAGTCACAGCTCTACATGCATACCCTACATATACCTGTACTATATTTTACCTGCCTCCTGTAAATTTGGTGCATTTTAGGACAACTGCCTAAATTTGGTCGATAATATCTCCTTTATTTTATTTTATTTTTTCCACTTTCCCTCTTCCAGGTTTTGTTGTGCAGAAGGAGAAACTTTTCTTGAAAATTTCCTTGGTTTCTCCCATAATTTCCTTCGATTTTGTTAGCAAAAGGTCATTGCCAATATGCTTGACCATAGTGAAACTGATATAGTAGCTTATGTTGGTGGCTTTCTTCTAGAAAGGACACCCTCTAATGGCATGAACGTATGCTACTACGAGACTGTAAATGTTGATTTGTCTGTTTGGAAGATTTCAAACCCCCTGCTTAATAATGTTCCATACTTTGCTGTCCAGTTAAGCATCACTATATTCATGATTCACTTGCTCTTCTTCATCTTTAACTTCACCCGTCAACCTAGATTTTTCGCAGAGTTGATTGTAAGTATGATACATTTTACCGTGCTAATTGAATATTTGGTTGTGTGTTTAGAAGGCTTTTAACATTTCTGTTATCTGGGTTGCTCTGTTACTTTCTGATTATTAGTATTAATTTTGTGTTTTCCCAATTTATGTAGACAGCTTGCATGCTTGGTCCAATATTCTTTAGGTCTGCATTTTTCCTCAGATACGTACGTCCGATGAAGAGCAATGTGGCGTTGCAGACCATGGCAAACTTAGGCCTTGTTTATTACATGTTTCTTGTGGGTTTAGAGATTGATCTAAACAAGGTAAGGAGAGTGGGGAAGAAAGCTTTCACCAATGCCGTGGCTGGAATTCTGTTTTCTATGGGCATGGGTGCCAGTCTGCATTGCTTATTTACACGAGATAAATCCATATTTCCTTCAGCCAGTCCTGTAGGCGGATTGTTTTGGGGTGTTGCTCTGACTGTCACAAGCTTTCCTGATCTTGCTCAAGTTCTTTCCGACATTAATCTCATCAGCACAGATCTTGGACAAATAGCCTTGTCTTCAGCTTTTGTTAATGATTTAGCATCTTGGACTATTCTTATTATGACAATAACCTGGCTCCATGGACGCGGTAAACTTTCCATCCTCCCAACTGTTGGCTTCATTATTCTTTGCTGGTTTGTGGTGCGTCCAGTCCTTAGCAAAATCAAAAGTTCTTCGAACAAAAGCAGTGGTAGAGACTTTTATGTATATGTTATTCTTGCTGGAGTGCTCATTTGCGGATTCATCACAGATGCTTGTGGCTCCACTTCTATGACTGGGGCATTTGTTCTGGGACTTATCACATCAAATGAGTTTGAGACAAGAATTTTGGAACAAGTCAATAATTTTGTGGCAGGAATTTTGCTTCCTTCCTACGTCATGGTTGTTGGAGGTAAAATTGACATATTTTTTTTGATGTCCAAAACTAATGTAGTCATGCTGCTGGTGATTGTTGTCTTGGCTTTCTCGGTCAAGGTTTTGAGCTCTTTCCTTGTCTGCAAGGCCTTCGGTATCTCTGCTCGTGATGGTATTGCCCTTGGGATTCTTATGAACACAAAAGGCCTTTTGGCTCTGGTTGTTATTAACATTGGTGTCGATGTACAGGTACAACGGATATTTTCATCAACTTAACTAAGAATTATAGAGACATACATGCTTGATCTATTTCTGACAAATCATTTTATGACATTGATGCAGGCTCTGGACCTTGCAACATTTCCTGCAATGGTGATTGTGTTTTTGGTGATGACAGCTCTTGTGAAACCTTTTCCTTATTGGGTCAGTAAGTCTTCGAAGAATCTCAAGCAATACAAGCAAAGGACTCTGGAAACAAGCGAAGATGATTCTGAATTTCGAATCATTATGTGTGTTCATGAATCTCATCATCTATCAGGAATGAGCACCCTCTTGAAATTGTCTAATTCTACTAAACTATCACCAATCAGTATTTTTGCTCTTCATCTAGTAGAACTCACAGGCCGTTCATCGGCAATGCTTATTGTTCATGATGCCTATAACACCACTAACGCCAGCCAACCCATTTTTGAAAGAGTTATATCAGACCACGTCACATCTCACTGTCTTAGAAGCTATGGAAGGAGTCGAACAGGCCATCCGATTTCCATCCAACCAGTAACAGTCGTGTCACCTTACGCGACCATGCACAGAGAGATATGCTGCGTTGCTGAGGACAAACATGTGACTTTAATTATTGTTCCATTTCACAAGGAAGGATGTGGAATTGACGTGGTGCAAGAGAATTCTTCTATCAGAACTGTCAACCACAACCTGCTTGCAAAAGCTCCATG